AAATTTTTTTCTAAATTTTTGTAAACAAATTTACATTTTTTTTGTAAATTTAAGTTTTTGTATTCCCGGATATGACTTAATTACAACTCATTCATGTACAAGCAAAAAATCAAACTTCGGGCGAATACATTCTGAGTTAAATCTATTCGTATGCATGTAAATATTTACTAAAAATATTTTCGTAAAAACATTATGTGCGTAACCGTTAATGCACACGATTCTACATACATAAATATATACGAGATATAGTACATATGTACGTGTGTATGCATATTTTATGACCGTTGTTTTATTTTAAATACCTGACATTTAATGACTTTTACACGGCGCAACATTATCTTTTTGTTTTGAGCATCATATTTGTACTATACTTTTCGTATTTTGCGCCGAGTTAGAAATCCATTAAATGCATTCTACCAATAGCTGTGCTCTAAGTTTGTATAGCTATTGCTTAAATCGCAAAATTCACCTTTAACCGCGCGGCTTTAACGGCTTGTGTATATTTCCCCACACTCGTGCATATGTTTGTACAAATGAGTAATGTCCACAGGCTGTCAGCACAGATTTAGCTGTCGCCATGCGGAGCCTTAGTAAGTGTTTGATGTAGTTTTCGCTAAAACAAATATTATTTGTTTACATTCTAAAGTGAAAAACACAAAAACAAAACGAAATATTATGACAGCGCCGCGGAGAGACAGTTGAGACAGCTTTTTGCGGTAATGTAATTTGTAATAGATTATGCAAGCTTTACTCTGCATATTATTCCTTCTCTTCGGTCTATACTTTAACGTACTCTTCCATGCGCTCCTAATCCAATTTATGCGGTTTTTCAATATCTACTTTTTTAAACCACTTTTCTGCCAATCCAGCACACTCTAACTCATTCACTTTTGTTAAGTTTTTTCTTTGGCGACCATAGCGTTTAGTACCTAGCACCGTTATAAATCTGCCAACTCATTTCTAACGGTATACGCATACAAATTAACTTGTTTTCGCGAAATAAATGCAAATGCAAATTTTTGTTTGTCGTTAAAAGTTGTCGAGCATTTGCGTATAACTCTTATGCTCGTATTGTTTTTGTTCTGGGGGAAAAAAAACAACAAGAGTCGAAATTATTCATTTCCACGCTGGTAAAACAAAACTTACCGGTAACAGCCATTAAGAAGCGACCAAATAATTAAAATGTGAAAAAAAATAAAAGGATCTGTAGAGAGAATACGGATTAATGAAATGAAGGTCACACTTTGTGGCTTTCTTTTATGGTCTGTCTGCTGCTATTAACAATACCGGTTATATTGCTTACTGCTACTTTCTCACTTTTAATTTTTATTATGGTGGCTCTTGAATCATTGTCATAACTGCATGAATCAGCGAACGCTACTTGAGAGAGATGGTGGTTTCAAAGAACGATCTAACCTAAAATAATTCTACTAATTGAGTAAGTGATTGATTTCTCACTAGAAGCGTTTTAAAAGGTTGTTGGCAGCTATTTTGAGTTGTTTTTGGATTGCTTGTCGTAATAGTAATGGAAATAAAACTACATTAAAAATTTTTGCTTTCACAGAAGGTTTTAAAAGTTGAACGAAATCTTCAGGTTTTGTGGCTTAACACTTAAGGGATGTTTTAAAGTTGTTAAATTGTCTACAATCATTTCAATTTTTGATCAGACGACTTCATAATAATTATATTTGCAATGATTTCTACGATGACACAATTATTAACAGCAATAAAATTAATCTCATGAAAATTTCACAGCTTTCATATAACGGGTCCCTATTCTGTACGTTCGTACTGTCAAATATTCTGAAAAACTTAGAGCAAGAGCATCAAATAAACTTATTTACAAATAGTTTACTGAAAGTGAGCGTGATATTTTTATCTTATATTAATATTTTGCTTTCCAGTTGTCGACTAAAATCAACGACTTTATCGGTCTACGGCAAAATATTTTTTTCCCAAACCGTCAACACTTATTATGCAAAACTAAAGAACAGTTACCAAATTAAAGATTTTCAAATTCAAATTTCATATTATTCGGCTCAATCAAATTTGCAAAAGAGCGCCTATAAATAAAACTATTTGTAAATAGGATATGTTGTTTCAACAAATTTGCATTTTTCATTCATAGCCAGTCCAATGTTGCGTTTTTTGTAGCGCTCGGCGAACAAAACTAAAAAAGAAGGAGGCAGAAATATTTTTTTCTTGTGGCCCAAACTGAAGTATGCCAAAATGATAAATGAAATGCGTTGGCCTTTTATCTCATGATTTTCGTTTGGTTGTCGTTTTATTATTTTATATAATACACGCTGCAAAACACCGTTACACGCGGGTTACTTTGCAATAACAGCTACAAAATCAGACAGCTTGCGTGCGCTTTGTAACTGTGTTTTTTTTTTGGTATGATAAACAATTAAAGGAATATTTT